CCATCCGAGCTTTTGAAGCTGCTTTTGAAGGGACGTACAGTAGTAGACCCGTTTCCTGGGCGAGAACAGGTTAGTTTGAATCTTTATCTGTCATACGCATTCAGATTGTTAACAAGCGTATCTACAGAGTCACCTAACGGTGGAGAGCACAACAAACGTGGCAGCTACTATGGAGGTAAATACGCGCATTAAAACCTCTCACCTCAGAAGACAATATGTCATCGGTTTAGACTGTCACTTTGTGATACAGTATGCTAATAACAGTGGTTTCATGCAGAGTCCAGCCGTGGAAACGGGTACTATCCAAACAGAGGATACAGTGATCAGAGTGGACACTTCAATCAACGGGGAACCTACTCGCGACCAGAGAGTTATGTCGATACTTACAATGGCCAGCCTCAAGATAATGGCTACTACCCGTACAACCAAGGCGGCGGCGGCCGTCGACCACGACCCAACCCGCGGATGTATACCGATCAGACAGGACACAGCAATGGCTCGAATGGATTCGCACAGCATTCATACCAGAAATCCGTCGATAATATCACTGCAGCCTCTGGGTCGGGTGGAAGCCACACTGATGCCTGGGGCAATTCGACCGACCCCAGTTCCGTGAACAGTTCGATCGACCAATTGTCCCAGCAGCTACAATTTGGACAGCAAGGGTTCAATTCCCAGCCCAATCTCAATGGCTATGCACCGGGACCTCCAAAACCTCCCGTACATAGCTTCAACCAAGCACCAGCCTTCGATCCTAACGCTGGGGGCCCTGTCGGCGGCACCCCAGCCGCCGGGTCAGCGCCCAACCGTCGTCAACTGCGGAAATCGGTGAACATGTCCGATACAGGGGACAAGCGAAAGAGCTGGTTCAAGCGCAAGTTTAGCAAGGATTAAGGGATACATAGGTGGTTATCTGGGTCTCATTCGCTATTCGTCTAACGTATGTAATGATTGTTCTTAGTGGGCGTTTTCTCGAGTTCAGACATGGGTAAACAGGGAAATTGCGTTCTTTGCTTTTTTGTTAATGTTAATTCTCCTAATTGTTTTCATCGGGCTGTCTTACAGTTTGATACGTTTATGCTTGACGATGTCACGATACATGGATGCCCGAGCGAATCATCAATTGATTAATGTGCCGTTCTCGTGTTTGCCTGATATTTCGAGTACATATTCCGCGCCCTGTTCTGATTACGCCAAAGGGATCAACAGGCGGTGTATGTTGATATCACACCTGAGTTTTGCATGTTCAAAAGGCTTATGCAGGATGACGACAGACCAATGAGACTGCACCTGTTTGATCAAGAGATGTTTACAACTTTACATGACGAGATCTAGACTCGGTTGTGCATATCACTTTATTCTACAGGCTGACCAGGCAATCCATCCTCGGTAGACACCACAGAGACAAACAAATGATGGACGTACTAACTATCAAAAGCAAACAGGGAATCATAAAATTATCCTAAAAATAGTACTGCAGTACCAGCAATCTACCTTTCCCCGGCTAACGTACCAACTAAGCCCTCCCAAAAAGCTTATGCTTGAGCTTATCCGCCAACCCCTCAGGATGATGCTGATGATGCTGGCGCTTCTTCTCCTCCTTCTCCTTACGGGTTTCCTCGTCCAGGTGGACGTTCCCCTGGCCGCCGCGCTGGATATATCAGGCATAGTTAGTTCCAGCACATAACAACGCTCCAACCCGCTTGCACTGAAAGAAAAAATGAGACGGGATGGGAGTAAAGCCATGAACATGAACAATGACATACACCAACATGATAGGTCTCATCCGTCGACTTGCGGATCGCCAGCTCGGGGATGATTTCCGCATCGTGGGGCACCCGCGACGTGGGCCGCACATTGGGGGAGCCGATGTTGCCGGCTCCGCCGCGCTGTCATTGCATCCTCTCAGCATCTGTTCACTTGTCCTGCAACTTGCTTGATTGGCGTGGGACAGGGCGGTACTTACACCGGCTGAGTAGGCGCCGTCGCCTTGGTCGCCATAGGGGCCTTCACGGACAATGCCGGCATCGACGTATCTGGGGTTAGGTTAGAGGGTGGGTTGGGTTGGGTGGTTCCGGGTGCGGGGGTCGAACGTACTGTGTGGAGTCTGCGCCGATGTTGCCCTGGCCTGGTTTGCGATGGGTGTTAGAGGGGGTTGGTGAACGTTATGTGGACTATGTATGTATGGTATGCGTACCTCCGCGGCCGTGTGAGACGATTGGTTCGTTTTCGCCCATGGTGACGGGTTGTTTTGTTGTTTAGAGGGTGTCTGCTAGGTATGCACTCTGCAGAAGCGAGGGGATACTGGGATGAAGAGTCAGAAGTGTGGGTCAGTTGGTGCTACGGATACTATGACTTACCTGATATTGAACAATATGCTGAGGGGAGGGGCCGTAAGCAAATGCGGGATGTGAGGGAGGGATATATAAAGATAAGGACTGGAGATGGGGCAACTTCGCTAATAAGTTAGACTACAAAACAGGAAAAATTGCACCATTCATTCAACCCCTGAAAGGACCGTAAGTATTGTTAGAAAACCAAGGTCATCGTTATAATGATGAACCAGTCGTCAAGCACGCATCGAGCCTCGTGGTCTCGGAGACTGGAGAGAGTCCCTGTGACGTCGCGGCGCAGTGGGCTGATAAGATACTGTCGACAGTGTTTACTGATTGGTCCGAGCTGTGACTAAAGTGGTTACTGATAAGAGATGTCTTGGCGATAACGATACCTATCAGGCAGATCATTTGAGTGAGCAATGGGAATTATCATAAGTCGAAGAGTCGATGAACAAACTTTATTCAATATTTGAGTTATGACTACATTTAACATACTGCATGAAAAAGACCGTCCTCCAGATCTCACTGTAACTGATAAAGCACAAAGATATTATCACAATACCCTACCCTTAATTTTTCTAGAAGCCGGCGGTCTTTGTTTCCTTCTTCTCGGCGGGAGGTCCACCGCCGGTGGTTGGAAGACCCATGAAGATCTTGAACGAGTCGTAGCTGAAAAAACAAAAAATCAGTATGTCTGCCATTGTTTATCGTACTTGAAGGGTGAAACTCACATCATCCATTGCAATCCAGTCTGTACAAAGAGTTGTTAGCTCATCACCGCAAACACATGCGAAGAGAAGACTCACCAGAGTTCCGATCATAACGATTCTGACGGGGAGACCGTTCCAAAGACCCGTGAAGCCAATATCCTTGTAGATACGGCCCATTGCAGCACCAAATGCCTCGCCAGGCAGTCGGGTAGCATTCAGCTTACTCACCATAACATCAGCGGGATGAGACACAACGGCGCAAAGGATACCGGCCAAGTAACCACCAGTAAAGGCGACTGCAGTCTGCGCGCCCTTGCCGTACTCTTCCTTCTTTCGGGGCAGCCTCTTGTAGATGGCTTCGACAATGGTTTCGAAAGACGCGAATTTCATCATGGTGTATGGGATTTGCCGACCCCAGAGTGGATACAAACCTTTGTAGAGCCTATGTTGCGATCAGTGGTGAGAGATTTAGGGAGTAGATTCTGAAGCGACATGAACTTACCCAGCCACTCCTTCCTTGCCGACAACTTGAGAAATTCCAGAGAAAGTCCCCTTGAACTCAGGAGGAATAGTTGTCTGCGTGCGCACCTTGACAGCTTCGAATGGGCATAGGGCGACATCAGCGATGAATTCCGCCGAAGCACTGGCGGCCAGATACACGGAGGTCTTCCATTTATGGGCACGCTCCGGTCCCACGAGATCAGAATAGAACTTCTTGAAAAATTCGTAACCGCCATATTTGAATGCTCCTTGAGCCTTTGCCCCCTGTCAGTCAGTTCTGCTCAAAACCGCGCCATAAACCGTCAGCTTACGCTGTATCCGAAAAAAGTCGGACTCCAACCAGTGAACACGCCTCTCATGCCTTCTGCACTGCGAATCACGCGGAACGCCTCCATGTTGCTCTTGTACAGCTGCGAATCAACTTGTCGGCGGCATTTGACCAAATCCAATGGCGTCACTGCTGTGTGGGTGAGACCCTGTTAATCGGTTAAATATAGATCAAAATAGATGAGATTAACTCCTGAGACCTACACAAGCCAGCAGACCTCCGACGGTGCAAGCTGCATAGTATTTGGGGGTCCATGGCTCAATCTTGCCTGTTTTGGCTTGAGCCTTTTGACTGACGACATCGAATTCTCGAGCCGCCTCTTTAGTGAAAGCATCGGCTTTCTTCTTGGACTCATCAATTACACTCCACGCCGGGAAAGGCTCCCGTCTGATCGAAGCCGCAGATCCCGCTTGCTTGGGCTCTTGGGGACGGTTCAGAGGGTTCTGAGCGTTGAAGGCGTCGAGGATCACACTGTCAGAGGGGAACATGGTTGTCAATTTGGTATTGATTCGCAGTTATCTAGAACACTATTGATTGACGACGTCTGGTCAATTGATCTGATGAGCCGGTACGAACGATCCTCGATACCAGGTGGTTGGCTCCACTCGTAGGGCTGGTGAGCGGAATAGCCGGTTGGAGGATGGTAAGTAGATGAGTACGAATGCAGATCTTATCTCAAACTTTGCACTGCAAAGAAACGCCACGGGCACAGATAATCCCAAGCGAAATTATTGAAGATTACATCGAGACGAGGAAGTGGGAAGAGGACGAAGAGGTCTGACAAGGGCCCGAAGGACGATGACGTCGGATTTGTACTTTGGCATTCTGATTAGCTAAACACCCGTTCTCCGCTCACTGCTGTCACAATGGCGCTCATTTTTCCCCTCCGCGCCGATCCCGATCCGTCCAAGTTAGTGGGCCGCAGTCGATAAAATTAACCTTGACTCAGGCTCGATTGCTTATACAGTCAATAGCGCGTCGAATAATTCTTTACACGCTTCTTGTGACTTAGCATTGCAGCAAGAGTGCTATTGATTGATGGTCCGAAGTCGACTCACTGCTGAACGCCATTCTGCCCCTCATCCTAATCCACCCCTCCTGAATCTGTGACACTATCTTCCGAGAATGGCCTCTTATATGACCGCCAGCGAGGCATTCGCTCGCGAGAAACTCGCCCCAAATGTGGAGGTATCCACAAGTCAGACTGCCTGGGCTGACAAGTATAGAGGGGTTCGTCTTCCCTCCATGGCAATCAGAATGCCACAAGAAGCACCCCGATGTGACTAACTCTGTTGTAGGCTACTGTCGAAGATCTGGACCCTCCTCCTGCACTCTCCGTCTCTCCCAGCGATTCCATTGCCTCCGCCATGCTCGCAGCATATGAGCGCGATTATACCCACCTGACAGTCATCTCATCGAACCGGTCTTTACTCGGATACCTCAGCATACCGCGACTCAAGGAGTTGCTCAAACAAGGCACCGTCAAGGAAACGGACACTGTTTCAACTGCCATGCAGCGCTTCAACCGCAAGCGTGGCACATATCATGTCATCACAATGGAGACGCCATTAGAGGAGCTGGAGCAGTTCTTCGAGAGTGAAACGGGACCCAACGGGGAAAGGAGAGAAAAGCAGCAGTTTGCCGTGGTCACTGATGCCTCCCGGAAGTTTGTACTTGGGGTCGCAACTAAGGCTGATTTGGAGGAATTCGTCAAAAGAAGACCGGCATAGATACCAACAGTTATTTAATTTGCGTTTCTTTGAACACTACTTCTTGACTTTACCACATACCACGAGTTGTTCGTGCATCTGCAGGCGTCAGTGGCCATTTGCTTTGAGTCTTGGACATCTTGTGAGGACGTCAAAGTGCATGCGACACACATAGTGGGTGGCGATCGTCGCATGCTTGACCATGAGACATAATGGATCAAACGGTGCTATTCAACAAATATCGGAACAGAATTGCTTCGGAGCTTTTCAACACACAGCGTCCACTACTTTGACAGTCGAACTCATAACATATCAATACACATATAGGTATATCGAGAAACGGAATAAAGCGTCTGGAACTAATCTGCCGGCGAAATAGACCCAATCTACTGGGCCTTTTTCTCTTTCTTCTTTGATGCTGCTTCTCTCTCTTCTCGATCATCCAGCCACGCCACGTAGATATAACCGAATAAGACCAGATTCGCAGTGATGGCGGCGGTAATACCAGCCACAGTTGAACTCGCTATCCAAGGTCAGCATCAATCTTGAATGAAGCGAAAAGACTAATCGGATGGAAGAAAGACATACCACCGGAGTTTACTGTGACAAAGTACATGCCGATAGGACCAACAACCATGGCGGCCGTGAATCCCAGCAGCTTGTAGATGACATCTCTATATAATCATAAGCCTAAGTCAATCTAATATATGGACCAATCCATATACTCGGACTGCGGACGGTATAGTGAGTGACAGGTATTGGAAACTACTTACGCAGGAACTGCAGGGGTAACGTCAGAACTGGCTGATTCCTTTGGCGGCGGTGCGGCAGCCGCCTCTGCATAGGATTTTTCTTGAGAGCGACGGCTAGCCATTGCGAATGGAATCAAGGAAAGAGAAACACCTGTTGCCTCGCTGTTGTAAATGTGGTGTCAAAAGACGGAGGAAAAGGTTCAATATGTAATTGTCGACAAGCCGAGAATGGTGATGAACAGATGACAGTCCTTTTTCTTTCTTCAAATAAAATCGTTCAGTTGCTGTCAATGAAAAATATGGCTAGATGGAAGGTTGAGCTATTGAGGACTTGATATGCATCTACTCGTCGAAGTGTTACTTCATAGTAAGGTCGGTAGCTTACCTAGCTTAAGCTACCTAGGTACTGACCTACCTAGGTAATGGATGGTACAGCCTGTATTCACGAGCGCATTGAGCGGAGCTGATGGAACGGAAAAGCCATTCCTCAGCGGCATGTGATTGGCCAGACTTGTTCAATGTTGTAATGGTGTGAATACTGACGGGTGATTTCGAGGTAGATGAGTATGTACAGTCATAGGAATAATCAATGTTGTCGTCTGACAATAAGAATATAGCGTATCGTCTATTCTTACATCCTGATTGACTTGCCCATAGATGCTGCATTATTCAAAGGGCTATGTGTTCTTTGTTTCCCAGTTGGTCTTAATTGAGGCGCCAACTCACGTGACCCAGGCGCGTCCGCCGCGTTTGTTGGAGGGAAAAAAGACTGATGAATGAATTCTGGAGAAGCAGGCGAGCTCTCTTTTGGCGCTCCGTTGGGGTTTTGCTCCTGTTTCATTGCTGTCTGATTTGGCCATCTTTAATTCGATCTTTATTACTTGATAGTCTGTTGTCGATTGACAACATGGACGATTCCGTCCCTGATACCCCCGTCAGTGACAGGAAGATTGTCCGCAGTACTCCTCCGACCGGCGTCAAGGATGATACTGAATATGAGACTATCGCCACTCTTCCGCTGGCCGCTCAACCCTTCCAATCACTTGCAACACAATCATTGACCCCTGCTTCTCAGCGACTTACTCAACCGACACAGATCGTTGAAGTCCCTCATTCAGCCAAAAGCACAGTCCAAGTTGCCGCATCTTCTCCCCCAGGTCCGGCGTCCTCGCCTTCCTGTCCTGCCTCGCTGGGAGGTCGCCTTTCCAATTCCATGGCACCTCCTGGAACGCGCTTCTGCCCTCCTGCCTCTGCAGGACCTGCGAAACGTACCCCCGTCATAAATCTCGACGACGACGGCCCAACATATGTCGGTGGATCTTCCGACGAAGATACCCAGCTGAAAAGAAGCACGGATATCAAACCATCTATGTTCACCAAGACATCGCGGAGTCCCGAAAAAGTCATGGATTCCCCGGTGAGCGCCAATTCTTCGTCTTCTTTTGATCGGTTCAAGGAGATCACCTCCTCCGCGGTCTACAACCCGAGCGTCAAACGCGCTGCTTCCCAGATGGACCCGACCCCCAAAGGAATCCCCATAAAAAAGCCCAGACAGAGTGGCCCTTCCCGTGCGCAACCAGTGGAGGTGTCCGTTATGTCATTACAGGATATTCAAGACTACCAGATGAGGGTCAAAGTGGAGAGAATGTTGAAAGTGATGCCGCAGAAATCGGTCCAAGCTTGCATGCAAGCTCTTGTGTTCAAGCGGGGCAATTATGAGGACGCATTAGATCACCTGGCAAATACAGAGGAACGGGATGCACTTGGTTCATCTGACGATGAATTGATTACAGCTCAACAAGCCGAGCAGATCGCACCAGCGAAGCAAAACATTAAAGCTCGAGGGACAATCCAGGATAAGTGGTCGGCCATGAACCTGCAGAAGAACTTGGCAAGCCAGAGAGCCCAATCGCAGTCGCAATCACAATCGCTGGACGAGGAAGAGGCGAAGCCACGGAGACGCTTGATGAGAGGGCCAAAGAATCGTGTCGTTTCCCCAAGTCCTACTCGTTCCGAGACTCCTCCCAAGAAAAAGACTGGACGACTGGTACAGGGACGGAAGCAACCTTCGCCCGCACGTTCGGAATCACCTGAAGCACCTTTGATCATAACGGACGACTCTGATTCTGGTATTGGCGATGCATTGGAAAATGCCGAATCCGAAGTCAAGGTTTTGAGGTTCATCAACACGTGCCAGGCTGTAGAGCTTGCAGATCTGGCTGCAACGACGGAGGATGTTGCCCAAGTCATCATCTCCCACCGTCCATTCAGGTCCCTAGACGAGGCCCGAGCTGTACCCGCCCCATCAACGGAGCAAAGCACAAAGCCAAAGGGCGCTAGGGGCCGGAAGACCCCGAAGCCGATTGGCGACAAGATCGTGGACAAATGTCTCGACATGTGGGTGGGTTATGAAGCGGTGGATTCATTAGTCGCCAAATGCGAAGCGCTTGGACGCCCGGTTGCAGCAGAAATGAAGAAATGGGGCGTTGATATCTTTGGGAAGCGGGACGGTGAATTGGAGCTGGTATCGATTGACCGAGAGTCGCACGATTCTGGCATTGGGACACCTGTTAGCCAGCGTACTGACGAGGATAGCGATGGCCCTGCGTCAGGTTCTCGCAAGTCTCGTTTCATTTCTCAACCCGGTATCATGAGTGACGACCTGAAGATGAAAGATTATCAAATCGTGGGGATTAACTGGTTGTCCTTGCTGTTTGAGAAGCAGTTGAGTTGCATTTTGGCCGATGACATGGGACTTGGAAAGACATGCCAGGTCATTGCATTTTTAGCGCATCTGTATGAAAAGGGCATAAAAGGACCGCACTTGGTGGTTGTGCCGTCGTCAACAATCGAGAATTGGCTTCGGGAGTTTCAGAAATTCTGCCCGACGTTGTCCGTCATGCCCTACTACGCAGGGCAAGCAGAACGCGCCGTGATCCGCCAGACCATCGAAGATAACCGTGATGACATCAATGTGATTATCACCACCTACACTGTCGCAAAGGCGAAGGTTGACGCCCACTTCTTGCGCAACATGGACTTCTGTGTCTGTGTCTATGATGAAGGCCATATGCTGAAGAGCAGTACATCAGTGTTGTATGAGAAGCTGATACGGATTCCAGCCCGTTTTCGACTTCTCTTGACCGGTACGCCGTTGCAGAACAATCTCCAAGAACTGGCCTCACTACTGGGCTTCATCCTTCCAAAGGTCTTCCAAGAGCGCAAGGAAGATCTTCAGTATATCTTTGCAAACAAGGCAAAGACAGTGGATGAGTCCCACTCCACACTTCTCTCGGCGCAGCGCATTGAACGGGCCAAATCCATGCTCAAGCCGTTTGTATTAAGGCGAAAGAAGCATCAGGTCATCGACCTGCCCCGTAAGACCTCTCACGTTGAGTATTGCGAGTTGAATAGCGCCCAGAGGGAGATTTATGAGCATGAAAAGGAAGAAGTTCGTCAGCTTCTCGCTGACCGCGCTGCTGGAAAGAAGACTGGTAACAGGTCCGCCAACATTTTGATGAAACTTCGACAGGCTGCTATACATCCATTGTTATACCGGCGTCACTACACCGATACCATCCTCAGCCGTATGGCCAAGGCCTGCTTGAAGGAGGAGCAATGGTCTCAATCCAACCCAGACATCATCTTCGAAGAGCTGCAGGCTTATAATGATTTTGAATGTCATCAGTTGTGTCTCAATCACCCTCAATCCCTCGGCAAATTTGCCCTCAAAAACGACGAGTGGATGAACTCCGGAAAAGTCGATAAGCTCTGCGACTTGCTCAAACGGTTCCAAGAGAACGGGGATCGGACACTGGTATTCTCCCAATTTACTCTGGTCATGGATATTCTCGAGCATGTCCTTGAGACTCTCCATCTTGGGTTCGTTCGGTTGGATGGTCGGACGAATGTAGAGGATCGTCAGTCCATTCTAGACGCTTTCCATGAGCGAACCGACATTCCTGTATTCCTTCTTTCGACGAAGGCCGGTGGTGCGGGAATCAACCTGGCCTGTGCAAACAAAGTCGTCATCTTCGATTCCAGCTTCAACCCGCAGGAGGATGTGCAGGCGGAGAACCGAGCACATCGTGTTGGGCAGACCAGGGAGGTAGAAGTCATCCGTCTTGTCACCAAGGACACGATCGAAGAGCAGATATACGCTCTTGGTCAAACCAAGTTGGCTCTCGACCAAGCCGTTGCAGGCGACGAAAGCGAGAGCAAGAAGGGTGAAGAAGCCGGAATGAAAGTCGTGGAGGATATGCTTCTTGCAAAGCAAGAGGAGGTGAAGACAGATAGCACGAACTCCTGATCTTCTTTCAGTCCTAGAGTCATCGGTTACAGCTGAGCTGGAAATATTTTCTTGACTTGGATTTCTGTCTAGAACGCGTTTTCTGCTGGAAGCGAGTCGACCTGCATATCATCATATTATCGGATTGTTCAGGGACACATGTGCATGCTACTGTTGTCGGATCTGGCAGGGATTCAATGGTTCCCGGCATTGGTCTTTCTTTTTAGGGGTTCTATAGCATCCATAGCATTCACCAACGCCTGTGGCGGTTGGTGACATTCTTAGAGTAATAGGAGCATTATTAGGTTAAACAGAGATTGTTGGTCCTCCATATCCCTCTATATCTTTGATAGAATAGTTGCTTTACCTTTACTATAGCACAAGTCCAGTGCAAAGAACAAAATGTCCGTAGCTGGTCATGCGACAGTACGTAAGACATACCTCTAGGCCTCAATATACTTTTAAACCAGGTGAGTATCACTGGCCTCTATGTAACTCTTGGTCTTTGATTTAGCAGCTCTCAATGATGGCTCTAGCAGCATGCTGGTGAGCTCGCGTCTCTGTTGATGATAGTCTCATCTAGACAATCGAGATGGATGATTCCTGGACCTTGCTATTGATTTATGTGCGGTTGCTGATTACTACACGCCTTTGTTGGACCTAATCAATGCTGTGCTACAAACTGCGACATACAGACGTGTTACGATTATTCTCCGCCATGGGAATATGTAGAGACTGCCGTATTATTCTTATAGAATATGCTCTGCTTTAAACCAAGAAGAAAGAATATATTCAGTGAAAAAAAGATGGGAATCTATAAACAGGTTTCTAACACAGACTCCGGACAAAGAAAACCCAGTTTAGGTCATCCATACATACACCATAACATGCAGAATTAGAACCGAGCTATGCAGTACTATCAACAAATAGCAAGAAAGAGGAGTGAGAATGGAAAGTCCTCGGACGGGAATAGAGGTGGAAGATGATGTTATACTCATGCAGCAAGCTCCTGCTTTTGAAGCATCTCTGTAGCTGGGACTGTGATATCGATAGGTTGATCTTCCGGCTTCGACCTGACCGGGGCCGGGATGGAGCTGGTGCGAATGGGGCCTCCTCCGCTCACAACTGGCGACGCTGCTTTGGGCCTGGGCGCACCGCTTGCCGCACGAGCCGTCTCGTTATTCTCTAGGGCGTTTTTGACGGCAGTATCGCGAGCAGAATCCTCCGATTCGTCGTTCTTGTAGACGGACTTGTCGGTGAGATTGAGGATCTTGTCCACTTGGGCGGCTCCGGGAAGTAGGTCATCGAATTTGAGGAAGTGGCAGTAGTCGGAGTAAGACTTTGCTGTCTTTGCATCTTTGAATTCCCTGTTCTTCCCGGGGATGAGTATGTTCAGGAGGAATTTGGTGTTGCCGAAGCGGTTCTCGCACTCGATAGCGGCTTGAAGATAGTCGTGGACCACCTCCCTCCAGGGGAGTAGACCACCCTCTGCTTCGGAGCGGAAGCATGACGGGTTTGCCTCGGCCGCTGTCGCTATCATGGCTCCGTCCACGCCGAACTCCTTCATAAGCGCAAACGCTTCGTCCCGAGAGGTGACATCGCCATTCATGACGCATGCAACACCAGCCTCGCGACAAATTCGCGCAATCATCGGCAACTGGTCACGGATGGCGCGTTCGCGAGGTCGCATTGGTGTCGTGCGGCAATGGACAGTCAAACCTGTGATACCTGTGGCAACGAGTCTCTTGACAAGGCTTTCCGTCTTCTCCGGTGTCTCCAGGATACGGATTTTGACCGAGATGCCGATCTGATAAGGATTTCCGACTTCCCGCACAAGCGATTCAAGGATAGAAACGAGCTTGTCGGGGGTCCGTAGGAGTGCTGCTCCCATCCCACCACTTGTACTGAAAGGTTTGGGACACCCGGAGTTCAAATCGATCCCCGCAACGTCGCCTGCGACCAATTTTGCTGCTTCGACGGCCAGCTCCGGGTTTGCAGAACCAATCTGAAACACCAATTTACCCTTCTCGCTCACGGGGTCAATCCGGTACAGAATGGACTCCTGAGCAGGTTTGTCTGCGCGGCCACCGTTCGAGGGGAATCTGATATATTCGATGCATCCGTTGCGAGGGTTCACTCGGCGGGTGGCTCCAATGAGCGAGCGGTCTATCGTTTCAGGGCCCCAAACAAGATCCGCACCGTATTTGAGAGCGACAAGACGAGAAGGCAGCTCTCCCGAACGCACCATCGGTGCCAGGACTACTTTGCCACGGTAGTCGACACCATTGGCGGGGATAGGAACGCGGGGTGTCGTGAGCGAAGTCATTGCGGATCGGAGGAATCTTAGCATAGCATTATTGACTTTTGTGACGCGAGACAAAGTGCAAGTGAATGACAGAGAACGTGGTTTATGAAATAAAGTTGTCCTGCAGAAGGGTAAATCGACGAACTACAAAGTGGATGGCGACGGACTGAAAAAGCGGAGATGAAAAAGTGGAAGTCACGTGAAGATAATCTGATAAGCTTCGTTCGACTTCCATGGCTCTTCGGAGTCCTCCGTTCACCAGACGGATATCGGTTGGAGAAATCTTTGAAGGTTAAGGCAGAGATATGTTGGTATTCTGTCATCATCTTTCTTATATTGAGAACCGATTTCTCTCTCCGATTCAGACAAGATATTGCTTCACATGTTGCAGCTTCCGGCCTGCCGAGCAGTACATAGGTAGTCTTCAATACGGAGTACTCCGAAGCACATACCGTAAACCAAGGTACCATCATCATAATATGGCGGACTAAGAGGCCAGGTGAAAATAAGGTTATTTCAGTCAGGCGCCGGGATCCCTGTAAGCTGAATGTAGGGCTCCAGATATCGAGGGATCTGACCTGAACAGTTAAAGCTATTGTTCTTCTCACCAATAATGGCCTTGTGAGCTGGTCATTGTTCAAGAGTATGGGTCTCAATACCCGCACACGTCGAGTACCTGGGAGCACCTTACGGAGTACTACAGAGTACCATGATTCTACCCCGAGGTAGATATCACTATTACCTCAAATAATGACAGACTAGCATCACAGCAGCAGAATAGCATTAATATAAATTGCGGAGCCCCGCCCATCATTGTCCCATGCGCCGAGGACCTTTGTCGTGCCGACTACCTCTGGTAGCTTCCGGGTATATTTGGAATGTCCGATAAACAGTGGTGGACGGCCATATTTGAGCACTGTTTCCTACAATGATTGCAAAAGCAAATTGACAACAGCTGGCGGCAAAAAAGAAAATCAATAATCAATAAGTGTGGGGAGGGAGAGTGTCTTGTACCTAGGTATCTTTTGTATAGCAGTGGCTCTATAGATGGGCCTCGGACACCTGTCGCCAGAACTCCCGACGCCGATTTTCCATCCCGATAATTTCCAGCAATTTTTGTCTTCGATCCCCTTCGCTGGACCAGCTGCTATAAACGGCGTAAAGCCGATCCAAGGTCACGATCACAAGCTTAAAATCAATCTAGATCCTGTCAATTGAGGAACTCTGCCCGAATTCCATCCTATTAATATACAATCAATGTCCCCGGTGGCTCTGCGCATGAGCAGCAGAACACTACTGCCCCTGTCTCCATTGCTCCGACTGTCCACCGCCTCACCGGCCCTCGCCCGCTCTCGTTCGCCCATTCCACGCACATCAGCAACGCTGGCTCCCCCCACTCGACAAGCCCCTCCTCCCTCCTCCCTCTCGTCCTCCTCCTTCTCTTCTTCCTCCTCCCCTCAACAAGCAAAATTGTCTTCGTCATCATCGTCAAGAGTTCGTTCGTCGGTCAGCTCCGCGTCAACTCGTGCTGCTCTTCTTTCTAGACATTTTTCTTCGTATACCCCGCCGCAATCCCCCAACATGTCTTACACCGTTCGCAAGATCGGCCAGGCCAACACCCTGGAGCACCGTGTCTACATTGAGAAGGATGGCGTCCCAGTCTCCCCCTTCCACGACATTCCCCTCTACGCCAACCCTGAGCAGACAATCCTCAACATGGTTGTTGAGATTCCCCGCTGGACCAACGCCAAGCAGGAGGTACGCAATCCGGACCCGCGAGGCGCTACACTGTTACTATTCTCGTTACGGAGCATTCGCTGATTCGGTTTGGATATTTAGATCTCCAAGGAGGAGTTCCTGAACCCCATTAAGCAGGACGTCAAGAAGGGCAAGCTCCGTTTCGTCCGTAACTGCTTCCCCCACAAGGGTTACCTCTGGAACTACGGTGCCTTCCCCCAGGTAAGCCAAATTCATGGACATGGTGCACGTCCAGGCCAATCAATGCTAACCGGAGACTTTTCGATCGATTAGACTTGGGAAGACCCCAACGTTGTTCACCCCGAGACCAAGGCCAAGGGTGACAACGACCCGCTCGATGTTTGCGAGATCGGTGAGCTTGTTGGCTACCCCGGTCAGGTCAAGCAGGTCAAGGTTCTTGGTGTGATGGCTCTGCTCGACGAGGAGGAGACCGACTGGAAGGTCATTGTCATTGATATCAACGACCCTCTTGCCCCTAAGCTCAACGACATTGAGGATGTTGAGCGTCACCTTCCTGGCCTTCTCCGTGCTACCAACGAATGGTTCCGTATCTACAAGATCCCCGACGGAAAGCCCGAGAACCAGTTTGCCTTCTCTGGCGAGTGCAAGAACAAGAAGTGGGTTCCTTCTTACTCCGTCTGGTGTCATCTCCCCGGGACTAACTTTTTTCTCTCCCCCTAGGTACGCTCTCGATGTTATTCGCGAGTGCGCTGACGCTTGGGAGAAGCTCATCACCGGCAAGAGCCCTCGTGGCGATATCAGCCTGTAAGTACTTCATTAACCGTAGTTACGCCCGCGAGGCAAGGATGCAACTGACTTTGACAGTGCCAACACTTCTGTTGAGAACTCCCCTGACCGCGCCGACCCCTCCCAGCTGGCCAGCATCCCCAAGGGCGAGAACCTCCCTCCTGCCCCCATTGACGGCAGCATTGACAAGTGGTTCTTCATCTCTGGTGCTGCTGTTTAAATTTATATTGAACAAAAGTTCTAGAAATTAAAATCCTTTCCATTCGTCCTCAGGGCGAATACTTAGTACTTTGCATATTCCCGGATTTCTAGAAAAGTGCTGGGAACTGATTTCGTAGAAACCGGCGGTTCTAATGAATTAATGCAAGTAGCATGAAACTCTCTTTCCCTGGAGCTTACATATTACTGTGAAGACTCACAGGAAAACAGGTCCGGCGGGCTGAAAAGTGGAAATATCTTGTTCAATGCTAATATATACAAAGGTCGTCAACTCAGGTTATAGCTCGTCAACGTCTTTCCAAATCTCACACACAGCAATCATTGCTCGCCCTTCCCCTTCTATAGTACAAATGCACAATGAGAAAAATCGAACCCGATGTCCTCGGCGCCGTAGCGTAAAACCCGCAATGATACTTAGAAAACCATGAAGAACAATATACAGACCCGAAAATCAACCCTTGAGAGTCTCTTCTCGCTCGATACTCCGTCCCACACGCGCAAGTTCTTCGATCACATCGCCGATCTTCATCTGGTTCTTGCCCACCTCGATCTTGACCTCCTTGCCTCCTCTGAATCCTACCGTCATCTCGGGGAGCTGTGTCGAGTGACGCGGCAGCTGAGTAACTTGGATGTCGATATGCGTCGGACTCGAGGCGGGTGTGGTGGAAGGGTTGCGGAGGAGAGAGAGGAGCAAGCGGCAGGGACGAGCGGACCGGGAGAACGGATTGAAGGTCGCCCGGAAGGAGGTGATTGTGTGCAGGGGGATGGTCATTTTGGTGGGGTTTCCTTTTGATGGACGTTCGGATAGGAAGATGGAATGGTCAATTGGAGATCCGCTGCTCAAAGACTTAGTTTAAGCGCGCAGGAGTGGTTTGCTGAAGGTGATGGGACAAATATACAAGGTCTTATGGTTACCGCGAGTCGGATGCCGGTTAAGTGAGCTTTCCGCGCTTGAGCCGGTCAATCGAGTGAGTCCGTTTGGTTTTTGGGGAGAACAGCGACGAGCGTACTCAGACCCTCGTAATTGAGGATGGTGGCTCTGGGATACGGAAGCCAATTGTATAGCGATGAGGCCGTTGCCTATTCGTGATCTACCTAGAAAATTACCTCGCAGTCGGCCGCCGGAGAGCCATGTTTGCTAAATATGCAAACAATTTGTGGCCTCAGGAACCGATGACGCTGTTTGATTGTGGACACGAGTGGTTTTCCGCAAAGCAATCGCATTGGACAGCAAGGGAATCGACTTTCTTAAAGCGAAGCTCTAAGGACGACAAATTTGGGTTGCCATGGTGCATTCCTGACCACTCTATATTCAATATCTTGGACATATCTCACGACCTGCGCACATACTACCGAACAATCTTGATATACTCTAAATACACACTGCCAGGATGGCTTCAACAGCTGCTCTCCAAGCTCGCCTCAAAGACCTCTCAATAGCTCTGGCTCAGATACACCCACTCATTGATCGCCTAAGGAATTTCACAGTGGCTATTGGCCAAGGTGACGAGGCCCGCCTGGAGTTAGGACAGGAAATACATGGTTCATTGAAAGAGGCGGAAGAGCAAATGGAGATTCTGAAGGTTGAGGTTGATTCTCTTGAAACTGGCAATGAAAGTGGACGGAGAGGTGTGGACAATGCGAAAGAGCTGGAAAAAGAGCGGATCGTTTCGTTGGCGGGGAGGTTGGCCGATGAGATCAAGAGGTGAAGTGCCTCTCCAGGAAACATTTATCCTGCTAACATACTTGCCTAGGACGAGAGTGGAATTTCGCAACGCTCAACTCCAGGCGAAACGAAACGCGGAGGCTGCAAAACGCAAGGAGAGGGAGCTACTGTTTTCGAGGTCACAGAGCGCCGAGCGCCGAAGTCAATCTACCGAGAAGCTGTCGCATGGTGATATTGTCAAGAACGCCTCAAGCGATGTTACTGCCGCACTGCGCAGGACGCACCAGCTGATGCAGGCGGAATTATCTCGAAGTCAATTCGCCCACCAAACTCTAGGTTGGTTATTCCTGCATTGGGAGACGTCTTCAGTCTGCTAAGCCTATAATCACAGAACAATCGACCGCTGCCCTATCCTCATTGTCCGAGTCTTACACCGATCTCGACTCTCTCCTCTCATCCTCCCGCAATCTCATCGGTTCTCTCCTCCGGTCTCAAAAGTCTGACACTTGGTACCTGGAAACAGCATTCTACATTCTTGTTGGAACAATATCTTGGCTCATATTCCGTCGCATATTATATGGACCGCTCTGGTGGCTTGTATGGCTGCCGATTAAGTTGATAGCGAGGTCCGCGTTCGCTATCCTTGGAACAGTCGGGATCACTAGCACGGCCGTTCAATCACAATCTCCAGCATCACTTACCCAAAGCATGCCTCAGGGAGCACCAACATTGGGACAAACAGCAGTCATGCCTAGCGCTTCCATCAGCGCTTCTTGGGACCAAGCACAGGCCTCTGAAGAGCAACCCGAAACTGATCGGCTGATTGATCAGATTGGCGATATGGTAGAAAAGAACAGCAAATTGGAGGAAGAAACCAACATCGACGACGTGTCGCCAGAAGAAAGGCAACGACAGCAAGAGATACCGCGAAATTCAAAGAAACGCATGTACGAAGCTACGGAAGTCGAACAAAACCAGAGAGATGAGTTATAGATGTAGATGGGCCTATTTATCAATACAGACCATGTTCACGATCAATCCGCTGCATCACTTACGAGAACGAATAAAAATGAACTTAATTTTCGGAGAGGATAGCAACCCAACTTAAAAAGTAAGAAAAGGAAAAAATAGGAGAAGTAATGACGATAAAAAGTAAAAAGAAAGAAGATCTGACAAGAGTGGGATTCGAACCCACGCCATCATACGATGATGAGGAAACTCTAAGAGCTTGGTATTAAGGTGTACCTTAACCTCACGCCTTGGACCAACTCGGCCATCTTGCCATTAGATGTTTATTTTTTGTTATTTTAAATAAATGAACCAAGCTTGTCCTCAGTCGTGTTGAACTAGTGAAGGATGATTTGACGTCACATGATGACCTGATGGATAGGGCGAGGAGAGCGTTACCGAACGGGCTGTCAGCTCATTTGCATATACACTGACATTCCGCATATAGCAGACCTTCGTCACCAATCTGGCGTCTGCTTTCCCCTCTTTTTCCAAACTCGCCTTTCATGCCCTCATGAACCTCTATGACAACCCCGGATGCCTTTCGAGATGCGGAGTACATCGCTGACGTGTCCGGCATATCTTATGGAAGCGTCGCGAACCTCACCGAGCAAGATGCTAATGTGTTGACTCGCGAGAATGAGCGCATGAGAAAGCTGCAGTCGGCTGCCAAGGTCGCGTTCATTGATCGTTTACTTCGCGACCTTGATATCCTGATTTACTGCGAGCTATCTGCGCTCTATTACATGGAGTGAGCTGCCTCAATTTCATCGTGACTGTTTTCTGGAATTGCTCTGAAGAGCACGTCGTCTGAGTGTGGCTTGCGCTTTACTAACAGGACTCTCATTGCTTTGCTCCAGTTGCTCAGTCATACTTTTCGCAATCCGTGCTATAGTGCAGTTGATATTCTTCACCCCCAAAGCCCCTCCTTTTGATCCGACGCGGAATCAACCCTTCATCGGAGCCATCTTCGTCAGTAACATCTTTTGTATGATCTTTCACAACGTCTTCAGTCGTCCTGAGGCCGGAGAGGCTACTAGAGGGTATCTTCATGGAGGGTTGTTGATTGATTTCATCGGACAAAAAGCCCCCATTTCGCTATTTCGGCTGCTGTCCCTCGATTTTCTTGTCCTACTTCTCGATCTCGTCATGCTGGGTCTCATAGTCGAAAGAGTGAAAATAACAGGGCAAACAACCCCTACTTCTGCAGAAACGCCCAGAGTACAAGACCATGACTCGGAGGAAAGGGGCGTCCATAGGACTCGACCCGAATCGGGGTCTTCCGGTGATGGTGCTGAGCTTGACGTGGCCAGCGCCCATGTTACCGATGCACATGCCAGTGTAGATGAGCAGGCGGAACATACACAATTATTGGCAGACCTTTCAGAGGATGGTCATACGCCTGGTGCGAAGAATAGCCACCCTCTGGACACTTTCTCCTCAGGAGAGTCTGTGATCATGAACCTTGGCTTCTTTGATGTCATACGTGATCAGTGGAAATATAGTACGACTATTCCGCCGGCACGAACATCTTCGTACATACCGTCAGACCAGACGGCGGCTTTCCTACGAGCAAGGTTTGGGCTGCAGGTCGGGCCAGATGGACGTGTTCAGCGGATAGAATCCTGACTCTTCCTGCCGTTGTTCACGAATTGGTTACCAATAGCTTCTTCTGTAAATATGTTTTCGTTAATACATATCTAGATCATGCCAATGCATGCTCATCAAGTGATGGAACCAGCTAAGGTATATGGCTAGCTGATACAGGGTAGATACGCTAGTAAGTCGTACCGTGGCAGAGCGAACTGGCAGGAAGAGGTGCTTGGTGTGTTGGACGCAAAATTACACTACTATACACTACTATTTTCTAGCACATTAGAAATGGTTGTCTAGACGCCTTTTCTAGTCGTGGGTTATGGTTGACATCTCCGCTCTCCACTCTCGGCTCTCCGATGGTCCTACTCCAAATCCTTGACCAGCACGGCAGTACCTTGCTGCTCGATCAAGATTTCAAACAACAAATCCACCGCTCACGTCATTAACGAGACCACTGCATCTTGATTACCATTCACTCGCTCATTTACTGGTCATGAACTCAAGCATCTTCTTGAAAAGGCTGGGTCGCACCGCCCTACAGCCTGTATTGTCGCGAAGCTTCACCAGCACCATCCCCGCATTGTCCAGCGCAATCCCTCCGAGAGGGTGGACCCCAACACCATTTGTGACTGAAACAGTGGTGAGTCCCAATTTTTGGATATTTGAGTACTGGATAGATTGACTCACTGCTATAGGGAGGCGGTTGGCACACATGTACGTTTGTTGGCCATGTACCAATCGGCGGAGCCAAGGCCAAGCTAACAACGGGTTTTATAAGACGATATCTTTTCTAGATTGTTAAAGGTATAGCAGATTTTCTATAAGTGAACTCGTGAAATGTGGATTGTCCTTACTTACCTTTCTCTCTTCAGGAGCGCATAATCTGCCTCAATGGCGAAGTAGACGAAACCATGTCCGCGTCGATAGTCGCCCAGCTCCTCTTCCTCGAAGCCGACAACCCTCAGAAACCTATCCACCTATACATTAACTCCCCTGGTGGCTCAGTGACAGCTGGTAAATCTAGCACACCCGATATTTCGGTCGTTCGCATACACGGGCTAATCTAACCTACCTATACCTAGGTCTCGCCATCTACGATACAATGACCTACATCGCATCACCCGTCAGCACAATCTGCGTTGGACAGGCAGCCTCCATGGGATCGCTACTGCTTTGCGGAGGCAACCCGGGGAAACGATATTGTCTCCCGCATTCGTCTATCATGATACACCAGCCCTCGGGCGGGTACTTCGGACAAGCGAGCGATATCGCCATCCACGCCAAGGAGATTCTCCGTGTTCGCAGCCAATTGAACAAGATCTACCAGCGGCACTTGACGGGGAAGAAAGTGCTGTCTCTCGAGGAGATAGAGAAGTTAATGGAACGTGATTACTTCATGGGGGCGCAGGAGGCTCTGGAGATGGGTATCGTCGACGAGATTCTGGACCGCAGGGTAAAGCCGCAGAATGAAGGAGGAGAAGGCGAAGGGAAGCCGCCGGTGCCTTGAACGGAGCATTTCGTACCTACTTCTTTAATACAGAAACACAAAACATAAGTCCAGGCATAGAACCTCCAGAGTGCAGACCACAATCAACTTTAGTTGAAATATCAGTGCGGCCACCATAAAAATGAGAGTTGATCAGTCTAACCAGGCACCACCTTAGTCCAGGTTGCACGAGACAAAGGCAGGATACTGCAGCTACTGCCCGCTACCTATAGTTATAGGGTAAGGGACTGGCCAAGATTTGGAGTAAGAGCATCGGAGAGCGGAGAGCGGAGAGCGGAGAGCTCAATCACTGATTTCTCCGCTTACTGGCGGATTTCTTCACCTTGTGTTTTCATGTCCAACCACAACAGCTGCAGAGCATGGAGTGCTGTCGACAACGCGCTTCATACGCGTCATGGCGAATAGCTACGTTTCGGCAACTTTTTCTCACATCTGCAATTCCTGTATCGTCCAATCGCATCCTTCGGCGTGGAATCTCAAGCTCCATCGACCAGGACGAGTCGCGAAGCCCACCCCGAAAATCTCAGAATGAAGCCGACGCTCAGGAGCTAGATCGAGACAATGTGAGGGGAAACGGGGAAGCACCGTCTCAAACAGCTCAACCTGTCCGTCCTTCGCAGCTACTGCCTCAATCGCCCTTACTCACAAAAGCACTCCCCGGAGTCGAGAAGAAGCGCAAGAAACGGCCAACGCAGAGTGATGCAGATCGATTACGTTTCAATCCCTGGGCAGTAGCGCTGGCATCGCCTCTACGTATGTGTACAGTTACCGGAACTCGTTTGCCACGGGAGTTTTTTACAAATTGGGGTCTGGTCCAACGCCCAGACGACGAGGGGCTCTGGTTCATGCCTGTTGGTCTCTTACGGGACGAATTATCGTCCACGAAAGTCACGCAAGCCGATCAACATAATCAAGCCGAACAATTATCCCCAAAGAACAAGTCTCTCCGCTCCCTCACTCTACGAATTATCGACCGTCTTCCCCTGCTGAAGGACTTGACCATACCGCTTGCGCGAAACAAGAGTGGGAGAAGACCCTTGATTACAAAAATGGTGCCCTTTCGATGGAAGCACCCGCTGGGCCCTCTTACAGCTCGAGAGGAGAAACGGTTGATTTGGCGGGAGGACATACCTGAGTTCGTTCTTGAGAGAATGCGGAAGCATGTCCTAAAGAAGCTCAAAGACATATACGGTGCGCAGAAGCGGTCGAAATCAAGGCTTGGGACTTTAAGGGTCATTGAGGTCAAAGACACTTCTTACGATGCTCTTCTGGAAGGCTTAGGACGCTTGGAGAAGATCGAGCGCATGGAATGCGGCGGGGTGCTTGTCATGGGCCGTCAATTGGAACAACGCCAGGATGGAGGTTCTTCAACCGCTCAAGAGCAGGTTCACAACCACGAATCAGCAAAGTCTCCGTATCCGGACTTTGTGACCCTTCCACAGTCCCATTCGAAAGTACCCGTCTTTGACCTGACTGAGCTATTGTCCCAAGCCGATCTAGCAGAAGTCAGGGACTATGGTCCACTCTTCGGGAACACTGCTCTGACCCTGAGCCCAGACAACCCGGCGGCCGTTCAAGCTCTTCTGGCGCTGTGGAAACTCAAGGCATTCCTCAGACCCCAGGAAGCATGACCTGCTTGACAACTCCGGATGCCTGTTGAGCCGTCAAGCGTGTCTAGTGTTACTTGCGTGTGGATGCAATTCCTTTTGATGACCAGTATATATGTCAAATTATATAAGAACTCTATGGGATATCTTGATGAGATCTATCGACGGTGAATCTCGCCTCGAAGTGGCCGTACCGGGGGCCGATGCTTGAAAGTCAGCAATAAAGAGACGTGCTCGGCGATGCCACTTCACTTCGCTTCTAAAAGGTCGGAAAGTTTGTCTAGGTACACTGAAGGCCTAATAGGCCCAGTCAAGAAGTCTTCCTTTGAGCTGACTCCAGTGAGGACACCCAAAGTGCCTCCGAGCTTGCCTTCTAATCCAAACCGGATGTCGGTGTTGGCACGATCCCCCACCATACACGTCCGAGATCTGTCGAACTTGAATTTTCCCTCGATCGCGTCCATCATTGCCTGGTTGGGCTTGCCTAGCGAGACAGGCTCTTCGCCCAGCATCATGATCAGCGGCGCACTCATGGAACCCGCGCCGGGGAACAGCGTTCCTGAGTTCGGAAGTGTGGAATCGATATTGGTCGCAAGGAAAACCGCACCACGTTTGATGTAGTGATATGCGAGAGCCAACTTCAGGTAGTTCAGATGGAAGTCCAGTCCTACGAGAACGACTCCGACCTCGGGGTCAAGTAACGATGGGTCCCCAGCTGCAATAAGCTTGTAGTCGTCAGGTCTCACTTCGCGACGATACGCGGGATCTGTGCCTCCAATAAATGGAACGTTCTCCGTTTGAAGCTCTTGCTCAATGCCCGTCTCTCCGATGACGAAAACCTTTCGCTTATTCTCTGGCAGTTTGAGGATACGGGAAATATAAATGGATGCGCTGTACGAGGAGGAAAAGATTTCTTCCTGTGTTCTTCTGTCAGCCTAGCCCGATGTACACAACCTTCTACTCCGGCCCAGCCTCCGCAAGCTTTCCCTTGAAGACGTACCGTTGTGCTAGGGATCCCCAGCTTCTCCAGCTTCTTTTTGTAATCGGCCCGTGACTTTGTGCTGTTGTTCGTGACAAAAACGACCTGCTTGCCTGGTGGATATGAGTCTCTAGCTCACGGCTTCTCCCCGGCAGGTGCGCGCGTACCGTTGCTCCTCAACATTTCCAGCGTCTCGACGGTTCCAGGGAAGAGGTGGTCGCCGGACCAAAGGACTCCTATATCAGATGTTCTGTTCAGCAATCGCCTCAATCAATTGGATCGGGTATTGGCGGAATCATCATGCACATTGCACGGAGTATGAGCGCGCGAAGAAGGGCAGCACGAACCATCGCAATCGAACAGAAATACCTGATAAATACTATCAGCCTCTTGACCAGGATAAGACGCACAAAGTGCATGCCATTGGAACGTGTTGTACTGGTTATTGTACTGGTTAGACTCACATCAAATTTATCCAAGAACTCCTTGATCTCCTCCTTCTTGCCCGTTAGATAGCGGGGTACGGTCGTCATCGCGGGGTACGGTTGAGGACTCTCCGGAGGGGCCATTCTGGTCTTTCTGTACTTGGTCCTGATACTTCGGAGCCAGGAGGTCTATTCGTAGATATATAAAAGAGAAGGTCTTTCAGGGAACTTGGCTGGCAGACCCAAACCCCAAATCCAAGTAGTGACTGTTAAGCTGCGATGTCGGTCAGCTTACCTGCACGCTGACTCTTCGGACATATGCGCGAGCGGGGCCCACACGTGGTTGTGGGGCATCGCCAGAGGATCAGAGATGCTCATATAGTCATACTTCATAAGTAGGAAGATGGGTAGAGGAGTAATAGCAGTGATATTGATGATTGTAGCATGATTCCCATGCCTTCCGTCTTATTTTGATAATGTGCACACCTCTACCATTTCGGAATTGCCTTACCATGAACAAAGTCTCATTAAGCGGCGTATGAGCACGCAGGGTTCTAGTAGTTCCTCCCATGCTTCAATGCTTCAATACATTCTTTACATTGAGCTATGGTCATGGCCCTCATGAGCGAAAAAGTGGCTAAAATCCTTTGATTATGTATAGATCAATAAATCATGAGCCGCCTAGGATGCCTGATATCCGGAGAGTAAGATCTAGTATCGATAAATGTTCGTCTGCCCCGTCGACCAGACGTTTGTCCATCTCAGAGAAAGCGATTACAATCTTGTTCTTTTGTATGTCTGGAATAGCATCGTTGTAGACAATCCGTCGGTACAGCTGCCGATAGTTAGCATCTTTGACAACGTGCAGGATGAAATCTCGCGATATGTGCAATTGAACGGTGCCTTGTGCAAGGGAATGGCAGAAGAGCTTACCTGTAAGACAAGCTGACCCGCGCTCCACCCATCCGCAACAATGTCCGTGACGACGGCAGACACAGACTCATAGGAAGACCCCAATTTCTTCGGCTGCATGGCCTCAACAAGTCGATCTATAACACTTTCAGGCACGACACCAGCAATCTCTTCAATCATTCGCACAGTGATAGGTTCCGAGCTGGCGTCTGTCATCTCAGAGTCCTCGTCCCCATCTTTCTGACCCGTCGGACGACCAGCGCCTACCAACCGGGCCGCGCTCTGCATGTACGTGATGGCACGCCGTAAATCACCTTCGCCGCAGCTGATCAGCTTATCAATGACGCCTTCATCAAGCTTCAAATTCTCCAATCTGGCAATATGTGCCAAGCGTTCCGCTGCGGCCGAATTATCCAGCGGCTTGAAGCGGAACTTGCTGCATCGACTGGCAAGCGGCTCGATGATCCGTGTGACGTAGTTGCAGACGAGACAGAATCGGGTGATTCGGCTGTATTGTTCCATCGTGCGTCTGAGTGCAGACTGTGCATCTTGAGTCATGCTATCCGCCTCATCCAGGATGATGATCTTGAACGGTGGGCAAGGGTATTGTTCAAAATATGATGAATCCAATCCGGTGGGTTGACTGAGTTGCGTGCGGGCGAAGCCCTTGACCTTTTCGCGGACAATGCCAATACCACGTTCGTCTGAGGCGTTCAGTTCGAGGATACGTGACCGATAAAGAGCAGGGCCGAATAGCGATTTTGCAAGGGCGAGGATGGTTGAGGTCTTTCCTGTACCTGGGGGACCATAGAAAAGCATGTGAGGGAGCTAATTCTGTCAGTCGTGTTCACCTGTGAATTTAGTTTTGTAAGAAGTCTTGTATGTCGTACATTTGAAGCTTGTAATGTCCGTTGAAGGACTTTCGTGGTGTGGTCTTGCGCGGCTACATCATCGAGGGTCTTGGGACGGCTATTGATCTCAGTTAGAACGGCCATTGCGTAGAATAATGGATGGACTAGAGATCACATACTATTTCTCAACCCATGGTTGCAGCCGTGTCTGCTCCTCCTTTCCATCTGTTGGCTTTTGCTTCGAAGTGGTGGATGCTGCGGCAGCTGCAGCAGCAGCTCGGGCCTTGTTGTTAAAGAAATTGGCAGCCATGAGTAGCTACTCAAACATGTGAAGCCGCTTTGAGATTGTGTAATTCAGAATCTTCAATAAAATGCTCTCATTGAAATTAAGATGGCTCCAAAATGCTGTTTTGAGGACAGGTACCCAGGAAACGTGTCTGAGAGACGCGTCTACACGTGATACGCGATAGGCCTTAATATTGGGAAGACCGCCTGCCCTTTAAAGCAAAAATACGGTCAGTAACAGATGTGCTCTACGCAAATGCGAGAAACAAAGGTAAAGGAATCTATTGTTCTAGGTCAAGAGCTTGCTGTTGATGACTCTCAAATTTAGCTGACATAGTCGCGACTTCATCTAATGAGCACTCTATATCGTTGCCCTTAGGTTTTCCCTCGTCGGTGAGAAGCACCTTCACAGCGTGAGAGTGAGTAATGCTTGGTGAGGCTGGTAGACATCGATACCAAATTTTTATATCTAGTTGATTCAAGTATGAGGGAGGCTAATCCTGCGCCTCTGCATGCTGAATGATAAGATGTAATTGCGCTAACAGGTAGTCTAGATCGAAACCTCAATCGACCAGAATCTGTTTAGAAACGCTCGAGTAGTGTTTGAAGAAGCTGGTAAACAGGCGGATCGAGTGTCCCACATCGTAGGTACCGCCAGTCTCACGGATACTGTGCATGCTCAATTGTGGGTTACCCAGATCAAGGGTTCGAGCACCTAGTGCAGCAGACAGCATAGGCCCAATAGTGCTACCACAGCTGGAATCGTTGCGAACAACGAAGAGCTGCAGAGGGACACCCTCGCCCCCGTTTTCCGCCGCCTTTTGGGCAACTTCCTGAAGAAGAACAATGCCAGGCGAGTTTGTAGCGTAGCGAGCATTGGCGTTGATTTTGATGACAGGGCCCTTGTTGATCTCTGGACGGTGATCGGATTCGTACTTCGCAGCGTAATTTGGGTGTACTGCGTGAGCCATATCGGCGGATAGGAGGAAGGAGGTAGACAAAGTCTGCTCGTAGGCTGTAGATACATCGTCTTGGTCGGACGAAGACGAAGGGAGAACCGACAAGCGATGAATGACGGCGGGAAGGAGGTTTGAGTCAGCTCCCTGAGCAGTACGGCTTCCAATTTCCTCATGGTCGAACAATGAAATGAGTCGGATAGACGTCTCATCATCCAGTGCCGAGGAATCAGCAACGGACTCGATCAAGCCAACAGTGGCACAGAAAGAGCTGTTGAGATTATCCAGTCTAGGTGAGAAAATGAACTCCTCGTGCATGCCACCAAGGCAAGATCTTTGGGTGTCAAACAGAATCATTTCGAAGTCAAGAATGTCGACAGGCTTGACACCTGCCTCAGCAGCCAAGAGCTCGACAAAGTAGGGATGATGACGCTCAGTTATCGCCTTCAGAGGAGAAAATTCGCCCTTACCCTCCTCCTTGGCTTCAGGGTCTTTGGATTCGCCGGTACGGTTGAGCTCGGCTGCCACAAGGCCAGCAATAGGGAACAGCTGCGTCTCTTTGTTGAACGAGAAAGTCTCCTGGCGGTCAAGATGAATGGCCAAGGTGGGAATGCGAAGGACTGCAATTGAGATCAGCTGTCACTTCCTTCGCACAAGATTCACATCGGGGAGTGTTACTTGGACGGTCAATCTTGATCAATTTCTGCACAATGGAGCCATCGCTGGTCTTAACCATAGCGCGACCCGCAACTCCCAGGTCACGGTCAAACCCTGACGACCATTAGTTTTGAGTGAGTGTGTAGGGATAGAGTTCAGTAAACGTACATGTGTGCCAGATGCCTCCACCATACGTCTCAACACCAACTTGCATATAACCCTCTCCGCGCTTGTTGCTAACAGGCTTGACTCTCAGAACAGGGGAGTCTGTGTGCGCACCAATCATGGAGATGGCGTTGCCAGGCTACAATAGGCCAACACTTTTTAGCTTTTTTGACCGAGGAAGCTGTATGTTGTGTCACCTGGTGTCGTGCAAACATACCTTCCATTTCTTGCCTACTGCAAAAGCTACGATGGTTGAGCTATTGCGGGTCAGATAATACTTTCCACCAGGTCGGCATGTCGAAGCCCAAGAGTCTTTTTCCTATGGGGAAATAGTGAGAAGATTGATATTGACATGATCTGCGCCCCTAGATATATATCATACCTTGATTTCCTGGAATCCTGCTTTAATGAGGAGTTCTTTTGCAGACTGAACAGCATGGAAGGCTAAGAATTCGCGCCGGTGTCAGTCCCAGTCTCTAGATAAGAAGCAGCGTTCAACCATAAGGACGGTGTATTTACGAGTTGGAGAGGCATTGACAAAGGACAAAAAGTCCAAGGCGGGTTGCTTCAAGTTTTGCGCGAGCTTAGAGGTCATCTTGAAAGAGTACCTTGTTGGCTATGAGGTAGCTTATGGTGAAGTCTGGAGTAAGTGGAGAGGAGGGACTATCTATTTGTTGGCATGAGATCGGATCATAGATACACTCCAACAATCTTGGCGGTCAGGCTGATACTAACCACGTTCGGTAGTCTATAGCAGTGAAGACATGCAGCTACAAAGAACTTGATACATAGTTATGATAACTTAGTCTGTATACTCATTATTGTATTGAAAATATGACAAGACCTGATGAGTCCTATTTTTAGTAGGGTCCATTTGTTTGTCGTACAGAAATATCCCACTCACGTGGTTTCTTTGTTGATCTGATCTTCACTGTCAAGCACAAGAGCTGACTATGAACAAAGGCTGGAATGATTGATCTAACATCAGACAAAGAGGGTAAAAGAACGGTGGAGTCAATTGTCCAGAAACTCAGATTTAAACCTAGTCAATATATAGATTGTTCTATTGTAGTGCAGTACGGAGTAGCCATGTTGAGGGAGTCCGAAGTGTCACGGTGGTGTAGATGAAGAAATGCGGAAGAGATAAGGTATGATTTCATCATCAGATCAGTAGATATTCACGGGCGAATTTTTGCTGTAGACACCCGCTCAGCTGGTAGGAGGATCGACAAAGGTGGATAATCAAAGAAAGAGTTTCTTTGGCTGCAGAGGTGAAAAATAAACTCTCCCTTTCCCCATGCTTTGGCCCGAGCTCTCAGTCGCGTCGAGGGCGCGTGGAACGACAGGCGGTCGCGAAACTGACAGGAAGGTTAGTGCGCCTGATTGATAGGGCACAACAATCAACGACAGGCTGAGCACGCCCTTCTGGTTAGGTATATTGGCGCTTCGCGTTAATGAAGGGGTTTTGTTATTGTTTTCAGAAGACACCAACGTAGGCAGACATATTGATTTCAGTCATCAGATGCAATTATTCCTATATTTGGTATGGGACTGCATTATTGTAACCAGTGTTACTGTGGGCGCAGATATCTACAACTGAGTGATCTGTGTGTTCACCGCATGGTTAGCCAACGCAACGACAACAGTAAACTACATCAGAACCAAGTCAGATTAACTAAGCTCATTGACATAGTTTCAGCAGTAGTTCCTCATCCTGCGACAAATCTTAGACTTAGGATAAATGGCAATATCAACAAAGATAATCGCAACACGTTGATCCATCAGCCAACCTCCTCTATCCCAGATAGGCTTAGTGCTCCCGACGCGTGACTGGGAGGGATGGAATCCCCTTCGAAACTCCGTCACCCCCCAAAAGAGAGAGAGCCCGTAGCCCGCCCTTGGATTGCTTTCGCTACTTCTCAGTCTCTCATAGCTCACCAGACGGTGGTCAGGTCGCTTTCAAATGACCTCCACAAGTTACCAGATTCCGTCAAATCAGCCTTGGGTCTGGTGAGAGAAGTGAATGGTACCCTGCTCGCCATTTGTCGCTCCCTCAGTCGCCTGCCTTTCACAGTTATTTATCGTTCGGAGCGGAGCAGAAGGACTTGGCCGTTGCTACCAACAACCTTATTTATTCTACGAACCACCAACTTTCAGGACAAACTGCGATCCAATTAGCAATACGGTCCGTCGCACGTCGACTTGAAAGCGCATCATCATACGGTTTCTATATATCTCTCCACATCGTCACTGGACACCTGGAACCTGTCGCATCGCCTCGCTGGTCCCTCCTACAGTCGATACCAACCTCGAGCGCTTGCACTCCGAATAGAATCTACGCTTATGAGTATGGGCGACAACAACAAAGATCCGGATTCTCTGGCCGCTGCTGGCGCAATGGCGGCGAAATCCACTATGAGATCGTCGGAGAGAGTCCCCAATGCCTTGAATATCGCATCCCCGCCCGGATCAAGGACGCCTCCCAGCATGCCATCGAAGAAGACGATTTTCTACCCCGCTACATCGGCAAGAAGACAGAAAAGCCACAGCAGTTCCGAACCCGTTGATCCCAACTTGCTTGCGAAGGCTCTGAAGGAGTACGAAGACGCAGGACGTCCTCGGGAAAGAACCCCTGGAACTAGCCCCAGTAGGAAAAGACAGCGAGTATATGGCGATCGGTGAGCATCATGATACATCGTATTGTCTCTTTGATGGGCGATGACTGACCGCAGGTGCCCGCAGGTTTATACCAAATCGCGAGGGGCAAGATCTACAAGCAACTTATAGCTTGCTTCATGAAGACGGATGTCCCTCTACTCCTTCCAAAACGAAAAAGCGCGCCCCTCACTCGGAGCTTCACTTCCAAAAAAGTATGTGTGCCTCGGGACCTTGATCGACGTACCTGTAACTGACCTTGCCTGTAGCGGAAGAAGCAAATAGAATGTACTCGCGCGTACTCAGAAGTGAGCTTTTTGGAAACACCGTCCCACAGGCCGATCTGGATTCACTGTCTCCTGATCCGTTACTGGGGATTCCCAACGGTATTAATGAGAAGACACGCTCTCACACCCCCCCTTCACACGCCATCTCGAACCTACCGCCCGCCAGTATCACGCCATCGACGCCTCACAAAAATCTCTTCACTTACGCTTCTCCGAGAATTGGCTCTGGTCAACCAACACCATCCAAGACGCCCCGAAGTCAACATGGTCCCAACTTAAATGTGCGATCAGAACTTTACAGTCTATCGCCGATCAGATACGACAGTCAACGTATCCTTGAGACTCCTCGCAAGCAGCCTCGCTACGTCAATAAAGTACCCTACAAGGTTCTCGATGCACCCGACTTGCAAGATGACTTCTACTTGAATCTGGTGGACTGGGGCAGTAGTAATGTGCTAGGTGTTGGCCTAGGCAATTCGGTGTACATGTGGAATTCGAATACCGGCCGGGTGACGAAACTATGCGAGCTAAGAGATGATACTGTCACGAGCGTCAGCTGGATTCAGAGGGTAATGAAATCTCTCATACATAATCTTTGTGTTTCAGAGCTGACATTGGACAGGGCACACATCTTTCGATAGGAACTGGCAAAGGTTTTGTACAGATATGGGATGCAGAGCACTGTCGCCGTCTTCGGACAATGATTGGGCATACCAATCGTGTAGGGGCTCTTGCTTGGAACGATCATATCCTTACCTCAGGCTCTCGGGATCGACTCATCTTTCACCGTGATGTTCGCTCCCCAGATCAGTATTTACGTCGACTATCCGGCCATAAACAGGAAGTCTGCGGTCTCCGATGGAACACCGAAGATGGCCAACTAGCTTCAGGCGGAAACGACAACAAACTTATGGTGTGGGACAAGCTGAATGAGACACCACTCTATCGCTTCTCGGACCATACCGCCGCCGTAAAGGCCATCGCCTGGTCACCCCATCAACACCATCTCCTCGCCTCAGGTGGAGGTACGGCAGATCGGACCATTAAATTCTGGAACACCGCTACTGGTTCAATGATTAAGGAAGTTGATACGGGTAGCCAGGTTTGTAACCTGGCATGGTCGAAGAACTCGGACGAAATCATCAGTACACACGGCTACAGTCAGAACCAGATTGTAATCTGGAAATACCCGCGCATGGAGCAGATTGTATCGCTAACCGGCCACACTTTCCGTGTTCTCTACCTTGCAATGAGCCCCGATGGACAGACGGTCGTTACCGGAGCTGGTGACGAAACGTTGAGATTCTGGAAGATTTTCAATAAGAGATCAGGAAGAGAACATGGACGGGAGGGCGGCAAGCTAGCGGAATGGGGTACGATTCGGTAGTACCGGCGTTAGGACGAGAGGTTATCATGACCCTGCAGCATCTTTCACATCCCCGCATGGTTTTCACATATGCATTAGACATGGCGTTCCAGGACATTGGCGTTGCAGCAATCCTGGGGGTACTTTTGGTCTGTTTAAGGGAGGAGTTTTCGCTTCTTTGGCATCTTTTCGCATTTTGATCGTGGGTCTACGGCATTTTCATCGTGGGGACCAGGTGCTTCTCTTTTTTCTCTCCATCTCATCACATCTTTCTGGCGTGTACCTTCGTCGACTTTGCTCCTCTGCACTTCTTTTTTTCCCACGCTCTGCTTCCCGTCTCAGGCCATGTTTTCTATGCATCTGGCCTCGAGCAGGATATTCTTAACTCTTTCTGAAATGGTATAAGCGGTGGCGCTCATGGTGTTCAGACAGGTGGGAGGGACTGGTGTTGCTCATGGGACGGATGGGCTTCAACGGCCCCAGAATGAACTCTTTTCGCTCATATCTGCATGGTGATACAGTCAAGCTCGAAATTGCCTTCCACATCCAGCATGAGCAGTTTGTTTCTGAACTATAGATGCCAAGACGCTAGTGTGGAACCTTGTCCAGTACCTAGGTACCTTAACGGTTAGCCTGTAATTATCAAGATGGTAAGGTATGAAGTTGAATGGTGCCGTATATTATGAAACGTATACATTACTGAACTTGTTGTTTTATGAGTGTACCAAGGTATTATAGGCCATGTTGGCTTTTATGTTAAAGCACTCAGAATATGCTACTTGCCTTGTTCTGCAGGCAGACTAACTCGCTGAAATAGCATACAACCTTCAGCCATGGAAGCGTGAATTCATCTGTCGCATATTTTACATTAAGTTATTAACTACAGCACAGATGGCCGAGGCTGTCAGATGTAGTGAGTGTACCTTACTGTTATGCATATCCGCAAAAAACCTACAGCTGTTTGGCAGTGCCAGCCCGCCTCTAGTTTATGCTGGCCTGGTTGGCCTAGAAGTATTACATCTCCGATACTTGACGCTCTCTGTGATCATCCCACCTTAGGTCACCAGCAACCACGCTGTATTTATTTGATTACGACGACATGCTTTAAATACCTTCATGATGCAGCATGGCATCCACGCACCCATACGCAAGAAACCGTAACTTCCCCGGAAACCCGTCTATACCCCCACCCGCTTCTATTTCCTTCCACTGTCCGTCGTCTGTCGAAGTCAGCAGGTGATAAAAACACTTACATGTGAATAACTCATACCTGCATTGACCCATAACTCATGCAAAATTCGAGCATAGTCCAGGGCAACTCGATACTGCCCAACTTGCGCCGCATAGTCCCCCTCATCCCATCCGTCGCTGATTATGCGACCCCCATCTGTGCAAATATAATAATACCGAGCAAGATCGCGGCTCAGCGGCGTCAGCGAGCTCCCAGCATACCGTACACTTTTCAACCAGCGTCCGGTAGGCGACAAGCAACCACAGATCAGGATAAGAATCACGAGCCCATACAGGACAGTCGGCCAGTGTCTGGGATCTCGGGAGTCGAGAAGCCGGAACAGACACTCCGAAATATGGGTTAACGTGGCATCGAGGCCACTCTCGATGTGGTAGCCCGGCTTCGAAACATTAACGGCCTCTGTATTTGGTGATGCCCAGGGCAAAGGCGTTGGAGATTCTCGAAGAGCCTGTTCTCGCCAGATGGCTCGGTAGACTTCTACAATGGGGAGAAGCCTGTTGGCGTCATAACTCGGTTCTTGAATGACGACAGGGGAGCCATAGGCGAATAATTCTTCTTCTGTGAGATCCAAAATTTCGGTGTCCACATAATCAAAGTCTCGAACAAGGAGAAGGCAATGAAGAGCTAGCGCGATGACCGTATTTTCACCGGATAGATCGGTGAGGTTGGGCGACTCACGTAACAAGTCGGCTTGCAGCTGGGCGGCGCTTGAGAGCAGACTTTCAGTGCTCCTTTCATACCACTGCCCCCAGCGCGAGTTGATGTCTTGAAACTGAGAAAGGAATTCCTGGAGTAATTCTGGAAACCGCATGGTCTTATTCCGGCGCTGGATGGCTGATAGGTCACACATTGAGGATGCACCCATTTCGTCAGAAACCTCACCGTAGTCGAAGTATATCAGCATGTACGAGCGCGGGGTAGCGCCCTGGATTCGCCATCCTATGGGTGGTATTCGAGTGACAACTGCCTCTCTTGAGTTAGTTGCTTAGGGCTTCACTCATCGTGTTCCAATGGGAGCTGTATCACCAGAGAAGGCCTTGTCCAGGCCATAGCTGGGTTGCTGCGGGATAGCGGCAGCTGACTGAAGAATATTGACTTTATTTCTGCGATCACTGAACAGTGTGTAAAGCTGATGACATGATTGAGCTAGATGGGAAGCATCTTTGATCCGGGTGAGCTGACGGAAGATCAGCAATAGGACCTCGTTTGGCAGGTGTAGTAAATAGGAAGCTGTCTCTTCTCCGTCCAGCGGGCGCAGGAGGGTCAGCTGTAACGATGTGTGTTTTTCTCTGGATGCAGCCATTCCCACGTGAAAAATGGAAGGATGAGGTGTTGTCCCTGCAGAGTTAAATACGAGCCTCTACAAAGCACATCACGTGCCTATGCCCGTTGTGACGCCTGGAGGAAGGATACCCTGGTGGAGGTGCAAGTTACTCATAATCGACCACTACGTCGCTCAGCCACCTCCCACTGAGACCTCTGCGAGGAAGTGATGATCCAGGGGGATTAGTGAGCTCTCTTACCCTTTTGGGATAGAGATGAAGCTGTACAATAGCTATAAAACCGCTAGATACAGAGTAGACTGTAGTGGGGGTTTAACACCTTCAATATCTTTAATTTAGAACAACGCTTGACTGGAGTCACCTGACCATAATTCCACGCTAACCCACACCTCCGTACCTTTGAGAATTTTGCCGCTGCACTAAAAAGGGTCAACTCTTCTTAGTAAGAAGCTAATTCTGATGAATATTCTGGTTATCACACCCCCTCAGTGTGGAGGGACTTTGTTTCGAGATGCTGGACTATGTTCTTGCCTTATATAGGGCATTCTAGGCTTGTCTATATTTTCTTGCTAGATATTCTGCATGTTTTGTGTGTGATTTCATGGCCATCGTGACTGTTGTAGGCTTATTTCTGTAAAGGAATATTCGGTTGGCGGAGTACCGCCAAAGTTACCCGGAGTGGGGCCATAGTTGGAACGTTTGTCCCATGGAACGGTCGTGTGAGGCTGAGAGGTATTATCAACACTGAAGAGGCTATATTCATCATCATCCGCAGGATGGAGTGGCACGGAGAAACCTAACATTAGTGCTGTGTATTGTTAGCCTATAACTTGGGATGCCTGATAGGCATTTGAGCAACATGATAGCTAAGCATAACAGCACGCACGGATGGAGTTTGTAGGACTTAGACAAGTACTGTGTGACCTTGTCCATCCTGCTTGCCTCTGAATAGCCTCAGGAAAGTTCTTCCTCCAATGAATGCTCACTTCCAGGAAAGCACACAGCTAGATGTCTAAGAAAGTGTACAGCATTTGTTGGCATATTGCCAGATCCCACTAATGCTTTGTTTATCGTGGTTGCAATGAATCTTCTAAGTTCTAGCCTAGAAGTTCCAGGCTTCTAGCAGGCCCAGTACCATTATACAGGTTTCTAAAGAGCTCATACATTTACCTGTCTATTACAGTATGGTTTATTTTCAGACAATATATGGACTAGCCTAATTTGGTTAAGTGCTTGACCTTACTACAGAAATTCGCTGTGCTGGATATGGAATGCAATTTCGAGCTCAACTGTAGCCGTATCTTCATCTCTGCTAAAATGATGATAACATGATACCTACAATTGCTTAAACAGCTCCTTGCTAGTGCTTTCTTGCTCTTGGCAGATAGATGGGTTGCATACGGCTTTGAGGTTGGAGAGAAGGTTAAAGGAGTTTGTGATGCCATGAAGAACTAACTAATGTGGTGTCAAAGTGTACGTTCAAAATGTTCTCAGTTAGTGTGTAACGGTTGTTTTTGCAAAAGTTGAAATGCTAATGTTACGGTACATGGATGAATTGTATATTTATCTCATTAGTGCTACACTGAAAGACAATTAGTCATGTTATACAAAACCGCTGATCATTCTTGACTACTTACTTTGAACAGGTATATGAATTAGGGATCTATAGCACAAGCCTTCCAGGCTCAACTGTCAACAGGGTCTTCACCCGGTCCAAGAAAACCCTAGCCCTCGTCTCATCACCAACAGGAACGGTCAAACTAAACACATTTGCGGCAGAGCCGGCGGGATATTCCTCCATGTATGGCTGACGGGCGGCCTTCTTCGGAGCCTTGCCGCTGAGTACATCGATGATGTCTTCCTTGACGGGCTGAGCGGGCTGATATTCAGCTGCCTCCAGGGCATTCAGCTCGGGAACGTAATCGCCCCGGGATGTTTTGATAGGCTCAGCGCCGAGAATCTCATCAAAGAGCTCGTCTGCTGAGGGCTTGCTGCGGGGGGAACGGGGAAGGTCGTCGTTCGCCAGGTCGGTGGCACGGGCAAGGAAAGTCGATAGCGGCACGGTGACGCCGATCGTTTCCTTGATCTTCTTCTGGACGGAGAGCACAGTAGCCAGGGAGATGGAGACGGCTACTGAGACTGTGGGTGGGGGTCTGGCGATGGGTTCCTCGACAACTGGGGCCTTTGTCTCGGCGGGTTGTGGAGCTGCGATCTTGATGTTGCTTAGGTCGAGGTGGGACAGCTTTTCGAGACGGGAGGCTTGGCTGGATGGGTAGTCGGTGGGAATTGCGCCAATATAGGCGAGGACATCGCCCTTGAGGAGCCGGCCCTTCGGACCGGAGGCGGGAATCTTGGAGATTTCGGATTCTGGAATGCCCTTTTCATGGAGAAGCACTTGGACGGAGGGATAGAGGGGATAGGCGGGGTTTTGCGTCTGGACTGAAGAGGAAGAGTTGAGGCCTACCGATTTCGCAGTTAGCACCTGTAGATTGCATGCTAGTATACTTGGGACGTATCGCGTATTGGACTATTTCCAGGTCGCACCCGCTTAAATTGCGTTTGAGGGCGCTGGGTGACTTACGTCTGGTGGTGCTGATTACCCGGGGTTGCCGTCTGGAAACCAATGCTGACAAACGGCGCACGGGGAAGCTGGAAGCCATCTTGCTCGATCTTGCGGCTTGATATGGCTCAAATGTACCGTTCTGATCGAAATGTATCTCCGAGAGCGCTTGGCGCTGAAGCTGGATCGGAAGGCTTGAGACGAACGAGAGGTTTTACTCCGTCGATTAAGCCGCACAGAACCCTTAATGAACCTTGCTGCTGCAAATATTAGACCGCGTTTTGATGTTACACGTAGAGATCCATCAAGGCAGGATCAACCGCGATAAGATCTGTTTATTCTTGCTTTAGATGTTGAGGTCGTTGGGAGCTCACCGGCGGCCCGGACGGGAACATTTTTCTGCCGCGGAGAACGACCGGAGTATTGCGATGCGAGCGGAAATTGACGACGGGGAGAGCAACGGAAGTTTGAACTTGATCTCAAGGTTAGTCGTTCAATCTCTGCCGATTGGTCTTCTCGAAGATGCTCTCATCGCGTTGCTGATAGCGTCTCTCTAATTACTTAATTCTCCTTACAGGAGCTCTCAGCTAACGTGATGTGATTGTTTTCAGTTTATAGGCACTACAATGATTCCCAGGTCATTTGCCTTTCGGACATTCGCACAACAATGTCCTAGAACACCAATATTACTAGGCTCGCGGTCGTTACCGACATGGAGATACTTCTCTTCATGTGCTCCTCGGGCCAAGGCTGTTGTCAAGCCCACGGCACCCCGTAATCCTTCAAAACCCTCGCAAGAAACGCTCAAATTTGCGGGGAGAAGACCAGAAGGATTCGGTAAACTAGAAAGAAAGGTTGCGAAAGAGGGCGACTTACTCCTTTTTAAAGCACCATCACATCGCTTCTATGTGTTGGGTGCTTACGGTATCGCAACATTCTGCTTGGCTTACTCTGTCTACAACTCGAGCATCGTGTTCGGAGACCCAGTTGTAGCTCTGCCGATGTGGCAGAAGAGTCTATTTGGTGGCATTTGTGTCATGATGAGTGTCATGGGAACAGTCTTCATTGTCAAGACTGCGCGGTTGATCAAAGCCGTCAATGCCATTCACTTGAATGGCAAGACATACCTTCGCTTCACTGTTCGAAGAATGATTCCTTTCCGAAAGCCATACCAGTTTGATGCCCTGCCTCGCCAAATAGCCTTCTCTCGGCGTCTGGTCGTCTCCCCTGAATCGCTCAACCCACAGACGACTCCAAACGCTCAACCGGGTAGGGTGAGCATTTACAAAGCGCCTTTGACGAAGATCAGCCAGGTCTTCTGGAAGGGTTTCCGGTCCGTCCGACAGCTCTTTACACAGGAGGATATCATCCTCTTGGAAGTCGAGGGTCAAAAGGGTGTTTTCCGAATGGATTCGGCCGGGTACATCTCCGAGGATTTTCTGGTGATTGGGAACCCGGTGAGCATCAGAAGCTATTAGCATATTTCCCGCGTGACGGGGAAAGGCGTTCTCAGAGTTATCTTTCTTCTCAAATGTTTTAACTACAAAGCTTCTCACTTTCTGCTTTCAAGCCTTGGATACCGCGTCGAGGTGCTTTCTTGGCCTTCTGCCATCACGAATGCTTGCGCCAAGATCCTATGTACATAGATGTAAATTAGATTTCGAATGAGATGTTAAATGAGAACAAAGAAAGAGGTGAATCTCTCATTTCTTGGTGGTTGGGACGTCGTGAAGCACGTGATCTGTCGCCGTGCAGCGGCAGCGCGTCCTTAGGCTCCGAGACGCGACTCAATGATAGTCAACTATCGCGCGGGGTCATCCAAACATTGCTGCCAGTCGTCGCTCCATCGCTGCAGCTATATTGCTGAGTGAATCGGCGCGGGCGTCTTCATTCCCATTTTGAGACTTCAATTTTGCCTCTGCAGTCGCGAGACAGCGGCTGCCTTATCGCAAGATGGGCAAACTTATTCGCCTTGAGCTTTTCAGTACGGGATAATACAATCACTCGTCCGTGAACAGTGCTAACCATTCCTTAGATTTCAAATCCTACAAGGGTCATCATGTCTTGCTGTTTGGAGATGCCTACTTCACATCCATTATCGGACCTAATGGGTCTGGCAAGTCCAACTCGTGCGTATCACATAACCATTCGCCACAGGGTCATTACCTCGCTGACGAGATTTAGGATGGATGCAATTTCTTTCGTCTTGGGAATAAAATCCTCACATCTGCGATCTACGAACCTACGCGATCTCGTCTACCGTGGCCGTGTCCTGCGCACATCGAAAGTCGACGCGGACGGCAACGCTACCGATGCGGTACCGAACGGAGAAGAGCAAAACGAAAACGAAATCGACGGGGAGGAATCGCAGGATCCCAGTGGAGCGAACGAACCAAAGACCGCATGGGTCATGGCCGTGTACGAGGATGATGCGGGCGAGGAGCAGCAATGGCGACGGTC